TAATGGTGTCTTACATCTTATCATACTCAGGATTAATGGTGTCTTACATCTTATCATACTCAGAACTAATGGTGTCTTACATCTTATCATACTTAGGATTAATGGTGTCTTACATCTTATCATACTCAGAACTAATGGTGTCTTACCTCTTTTTCCTTTGGATTAATAACATAAAATGTTACTATGCTGAGACTTAGCAGTGACTTAAGTGTTAATATAGATACTTTTATGTACACAGTGTATTTTATAATAGCAATAGTAAACAAAATGCATTAGAAGTCTAAAAAACTAAAAGTTATGTAAGTATGCAAGGACAAAATTACAATTTCATTCCAAATTCTGTTCAGCTGTAATAATTTGTCATATGAAAAACTTGACACAATAATGTTAATAATCATTATAAAGATATAATACACACAATTTCTTATTTGTTTCTATTCTTAAAACCAAATATTTTCATCCTTTGCTGAACACAGATTTAAACTAAGTTCACAACGCAACAGCCTTAAAACACGATAATGTTTATTTTAGTCTGTTGCACTAACAGATGTTATAAAGTAAAAATGGTTGAAAGATTTACAATCAGCCTATAAACTGATCTATAAGAAATAAAACATAAAATTTACCTCAATAATATCTTTATTGTTAATTTCCACATCAGTTAAATCATAATGTGGAGGATCATCCAGATAATCAACCTGAAATTAAATACAGAATATATATCAGTCTTCACCAGTCTACAAGGTTATAATATACATGTGGCATTTGAAACATTAAAGTTGTAATTACAGAAAGATTTATGTTACAGGCTGCTTGCCAATCATTTGTTTGATATATGTTGTATCTCATTCTACATATACAAGGAGAACTAGCAGCTTTTGAAACAAGACTTGCCTAATTTCATATGAAAAACTGAATTCTATTTTTTATTAGAAGTTTAGTATATACACAGTACTAAATTGTTATTTTTTAAATTTATAATCTTTAAATAACCAGGTATTTTCATAAGTTATTCAGAAAGAACAGATTGTATACAGTTTCAATAATCTTGTTTTAATTTTATGAGCTAAAAATAAAATCTGTTATGCTATCAAAAAACAGCAATAAAGTGTGATAAAACTGGAATAACATGTGCAATAAATGAAATAAATTAAACAGTCAAGCAGTGGGATGAAAAGCTAGCAAAGCAGAAGCATTTAGACAACCAGATAAGGAACAGAGAAACTAATGAATGGAGAAATAGAAGTCAGAAACAAATGTCTAAGGAGGCTGACTGATAGTGAAACAAAGAAAAATGTTTAGGTGGACAGAGTGAAAATAATATGGAAAGGCTGGCTGGAAGAAAACAGAGAAAGTCCAGATATACAGAGAGAAAAGCAGATGGGTGACCAAGTAAACCTGTTTTATTTGGCTTGTGTTTTTGTGTACTCATTAGTCTATCTATATGTATTTCTTTGTAAATTTCCACTAAAACACAAGCCAAATAAAACAGGTGGATAAACAAATACAGTGTGAGAGATATTTGGTGGGCTAGGTATAAAGAAAGAGGTGGATAAACAAATACAGTGCGAGAGAAATGTGGTGGCCTAGTATAAAGAAAGAGGTGGATAAACAAATACAGTGTGAGAGGAAATGTGGTGGCCTAGGTATAAAGAAACAGGTGGATAAACAAATACAGTGTGAGAGGAATGTGGTGGCCTAGTATAAAGAAAGAGGTGGATAAACAAATACAGTGTGAGAGAAATGTGGTGGGCTAGGTATAAAGAAAGAGGTGGATAAACAAATACAGTGTGAGAGAAATGTGGTGGGCTAGGTATAAAGAAAGAGGTGGATAAACAAATACAGTGTGAGAGAAATGTGGTGGCCTAGGTATAAAGAAAGAGGTGGATAAACAAATACAGTGTAAGAGAAATGTGGTGGGCTAGGTATAAAGAAACAGGTGGATAAACACAAATACAGTGTGAGAGAAATGTGGTGGCCTAGGTATAAAGAAACAGGTGGATAAACACATACTGTCTGGGAGAAAAAAAATGATGTAAAATAAACAGTCTGAATGGGAAACCAAAATATTTGAGATGGCAACTGATGGATGTTGTGTAAGGGAAGAGTTAGAGAACATAAAAATTATAGCAATAATTAAATGACAGATAAAGTACATATGAGAGGGTAGACAGATGAGAGGAAAGAGATAATATATAGTACAGAGACAAAACTAAAGAGAAACATACACGGTAAGCAGACTAAAGAAAAGAGAAATATGTAAAGCAGACAAACAGAATGAAAGAGCAGCATACATGGTACATGGACAAAAGGACAGAAACATACATGGTAGACATATAAAAGGACCGAAACATACATGATAGACATAAAAAAGGACAGAGAAACATACATGGTAAGCAGACTAAAGGACAGAAACATACATGGTAGACAGACAAAAGGACAGAGAAAGATACATGGTAAGCAGACTAAAGAACAGAAACATACATGGTAGACAGACAAAAGGACAGAGACACATACATGGTAAGCAGACTAAAGAACAGAAACATACATGGTAGACAGACAAAAGGACAGAGAAACATACATGGTAAGCAGACTAAAGGACAGAAATATACATGGTAAGCAGACTAAAGGACAGAAATATACATGGTAGACAGACAAAAGGACAGAGAAAGATACATGGTAAGCAGACTAAAGGACAGAAACATACATGGTAAGCAGACTAAAAGACAGAAACATACATGGTAGACAGACAAAAGGACAGAAATATACATGGTAAGCAGACTAAAGGACGGAAACATACATGGTAGACAGACAAAATGATAGAGAGGCATATTTGGTAGACAGACAAAATGATAGAGAGGCATATTTGGTAGACAGACAAAAGGACAGAGAAACATACATAGTAGACAGACAAAAGGACAGAGAAACATACATGGAAGACAGACAAAATGATAGAGAAGCATACATGGAAGACAGAGAAAAGGCCAGAGAAGCATACATGGAAGACAGACAAAAGGCCAGAGAAGCATACATGGAAGACAGACAAAATGATAGAGAAGCATACATGGAAGACAGACAAACGGACAGAGAAACACTGTAGATGCAAGAAAAGAAAGAAGTGGAATGAAAACATCCATTAAACCACTTACTTGTGTTGGTAGTCCAGGATGGAAGACTATGTAGCCATCATGGTCAGTACAAAAAGAATATCCTCCAGGACCCAACTGTGACCATTCAATATAAATAGTGAGAACAGCAAATGTACATTAGCAAGTGTTTATCATAAATATAAGATTTTAGAAAAGTAATACAACTTAAATACATCACTCAAACTCCAGCAAATATTAAAGTATGGATAGTCAAGAAAAGCTACTGTTGGCCTCAACCATACTTTATTCTCTGCTCTTTTACAATAATATTTTAAGACTTAGTGCAAAATGTCTAATAACTAACTGAAAGCTGACCTGAGCTTTAGGCTCCATTTTCCTCAACTCTTGGTCAGTAACATCAACACCCATCACACCTACTATGGACTGGTTTTTCTGATTGGCCCAGCAGGGTAAAAAGTAATGATAATTGGATAAAGCTTCACATCATTTTATTATTAAGGATATAAAATATTCAATCTAAAAAAAATAGAATGTTAAAAAAATTTCAAATGTACACATATTTATACTTACAGGAAATTTATTTTGAAAGTAAAAATAAAATTCAGAAAGTATCAAAATGTAGGGTCAATTAAATTCTGCTACTTACTAACTATGAAAATTGCAGAGGACACTGAAATAGATTTTTTATATTTGTTTATGTAAAACGTTTTTAAGAAAATGAATTAAGATAACAAAAGTAAGTTAATAGGAAAATAACCATGACAAACATTTTCATGTGGTTTAACCTCTGACCTGAGCCATTATAAATCTTATCAGAGGTGTAGGAGAAAAATTAAAAGTGGGAGGGCCTAAGGTTTATTTGACTGAGTGAAGTGAGGGAATGTGTGCCATAGGCACATCCATTATTCCTGGGGTCCTGGACATGCCTTAGGGCCCTGGAAGCTCTTTGGTTCGAGATTACATTTTATACATTCTCCTACATTTGGTGAGAGTAATTTTCCTAATTTTGATGCATTTTTCCTGGGACAGATTGAAAAGTGTGGGGTCCAGGCCCCCCTGCTTCTTATACCATGCTTATGTTGAATATTCCTGTGATACCTTACATTATACTACTGTAAATAATCAAACTTATGTGACATCTAAAAGTATCTTGAAACGTCTCATGAGAGCAAGCCTAACTTCTGATGGTGTATATTCTATAATAATGTTATTGTCTAATTATAACTCATGATAATTTTCAACTTACTAACACTTGCAATGAATGTATACTGAATTTCTCCAGTTAAGTGCTGAAATTGGTTTTGGCAAACTATCTTACAATATCCTGTTTCTTAGGGCACATATATCTTTGCACTTTATGAAAATAAATCTAAAGTGTGCTGGGAAATATATATTTCAAATACTAACATAATGTAATGTTCATGTAGCAATTTGTAGAGTTAAAAAGAACAGAACACAAACTTACTCCATTGAAGGTATTGTTATATACAGGAAGTGTAACAGTCGTCAACATTCTATCACTCTGTAAGTAACAATATAAAAGAAAGATAAATTAAATGAAACATTGTTTCACTCAACAGCACATAATAAACTTTCCTAACAATAATGTTGATTATGGCAAGTTAAGACTGAACATGTCTCTCTAATAATAACACTGACTACAGCATACGCAAGTTAAAGAAAAAAAGGACACTTCTCTAACAATAACATTGATTATAGAATCTACAAGTTTAAAAAATGGACACTTCTCTAACAATAACACTGACTACAGCATCTACGAGTTAAAAAATGGACACTTCTCTAACAATAACTATAGCATATACAAGTTAAAAAAAGGACACTTCTCAAACAATAACACTGATTACAGAATCTACAAGTTATAAAATTTACCCTTTCCTAACAATAACACTGACTACAGCATCTGTAAGCTAAAGACTGGACACTTCTCTAACAATAACACTGATTATAGCATCTGTAATCTAAAGATAGGACACTTCTCTAACAATAACACTGATTACAGAATCTACAAGTTAAAAAATGGACACTTCCCTAACAATAACACTGACTACAGCATCTGCAAATTAAAGATTAAACATTTCTCTAACAACAATACTGACTACAGCATCTGCAAATTAAAGATTAAACACTTCTCTAACAATAACACTGATTATAGTATCTGTAAGCTAAAGACATGACACTTCTCTAACAATAACACTGATTATAGTAACTGTAAGCTAAATACAGGACATTTCTATAACAATAACACTGATTATAGTATCTGTAAGCTAAAGACTGAACACTTCTCTAACAATAACACCAACTACAGCATCTGTAAGCTAAAGACAGAACACATCTCTAACAATAACACTGATTATAGTATCTGTAAGCTAAAGACAGAACACTTATATAACAATAACACTGATTATAGTATCTGTAAGCTAAAGACATGACACTTCTCTAACAATAATACCAACTACAGAATCTATGAGCTAAAGACAGGACACTTCTCTAACAATAACACTGATTATAGCATCTGTAAGCTAAATACAGGACACTTCTCTAACAATAACACTGATTATAGCATCTGTAAGCTAAAGACAGGGCACTTCTCTAACAATAACACTGATTATAGCATCTGTAAGCTAAAGACAGAACACTTCTCTAACAATAACACCAACTACAGCATCTGTAAGCTAAAGACAGAACACTTCTCTAACAGTAACACTGATTATAGTATCTGTAAGCTAAAGACAGAACACTTCTCTAACAATAACACCAACTACAGCATCTGTAAGCTAAAGACAGAACACTTCTCTAACAGTAACACTGATTATAGTATCTGTAAGCTAAATACAGGACACTTCTCTAACAATAACACTGATTATAGTATCTGTAAGCTAAAGACAGGACACTTCTCTAACAATAACACTCACTACAGCATTTGTAAGCTTAAGAATGAACAATTACCTGATAATAACATTGATTATAGTATTTACAAGATAAAGAATAAACACT